CCGTGTGCTCTGGGTGAACGGTGGTGTCGGTGTGTAGATGAGCGATCTGTCATCTGGACAGAGACGGGAGACCAGCCCGGGACTAACACGGCTGCGCCGACCCAAGTCTGACTCGTGGAAAAGCGCTAAGTGAAAGACAGTGACCGCTGGAATAAGTCAGCAGTGATACCTGTGTGGAGAAAAACTGCCCTCAAATGACAGGGTGGTTTTCATCCTGAATTGAAAGATCTTTACAATCGAAATTAGTTTAGTCAAGTCTTTTTCATAAAACAGTGTTTTAATTAAAGATTCAATTTTTGGTCAAGGGTATCTTTAAAAATATATAGAAGTGACCATCAACTGTAAAGAATTTTTCTAAAATAAAAGCTTTCTATGTATTCAGCAGTGCTATGTGGGGATTAAGGACAGAGGATCTCCAATCGATTGCCTGGTTTCAAATCCTGGTTTGTCTACCTTCCTGCTATTTAATCCGTAATGTCCTGAGCCTCTATTTATAAAATGAGATTAATAAAAGTACTAACTTTATAGAGCTCTGATGAGAATTAAATGGAATAATCCATGTAAAGTACTTAGCCCAGAATCTAATATTACATGCTCCATAGATATTACGGCTCCATAGATATTAGCCAGTTTAATGTGGGAATATGTAGAAACTAATTGTTAAAAACATTTTAGTAATGAACCATGCAATAAATATTGTAACATAACAACTTCTTATCTTCCATGTTTGATGTTCCTGCCTTATTTTTGGAGCAGCAAAAGTTAAGGTAGATAAAGAAAAATCCCTCACTGGGGTCTTAAAATGTAGAAGGTTAGCTCAGGGAGCATCTTAATGGGCATTGTATTAGTTAGCGTCCAGGTCTTGCTGCTGAAACAGCAACCCAAAAACTGTAGTGACAAAAAAAGAAAAAAGTGTTTGCTCTCTAACACGCCCACCCAGAGGTGAGCATCCCGGCTCTGGCAAGGCGGCTCTGTTCCACAAGGCCCCAGGAGCCAGGTTCCATTTACCCTGTGTCTCCGCCATCATCTGCAATAGGGTGTATGCTGAAGCTCACCAACATCTTCTTCCATCAAGCTATCTTCTTTTTGAAGGATGGAGCCTAGAACTTATGCACATGACATCCATGACCACCTCACTGCTGAGGTCTCAGTCACAGGGCCACCTGTAGTTGAAAGAGAAGCTAGAAGAAGTGACTCTTGACAGACAGCTGTGTGCCCGACTAAAATTCCATGAATTCTGTTATCAAAAGAGAGGAGGAAAGAATGGGTGGTAAAATCAATTGTCAGTCTTCAGCTGTCCTCATCATGGAAACTATTGTTTTGTTGACTCTAAGACGCTACTGATTTTAAGACACTGGTTTTATGGACCACTGAGTAAGAGAAGCCATGCTGTTTAGCCTGTGACACATTGCTTTCTCGTCAGTTCAGCTATAGGATACATCCCAATTTAAGAGATTTTAAAATGTGGAAAACCAATGTGTCTTGGTATAGAAGAAGTACAGGATTGGGAAGACTGGGGAAAAAGTGATCTGCAGACGTTCATTTTGCAGTCTACTTTTGTGTGTGTGACTTTCCCTGCAGCAAACGTAGGCACAAGATGTCAAGCTTCGGTTGGCCCTTTGAATTCACCGTCTAGAATATGTGATTGACAAGGTACTGTCGGCGTGAATTTCTCCAAGTCAAATTCTGTGACTACTGGTAGAGAGACTTTCAGCTCGAAATCTTGGGGACATTTTGCCTAGACTCCCACTCTGTCTGGGCCAGATCTGGAGTTGAGCAAACGGACAGAAGGGCTCCTGTCCTTAGTAGTCAGGGTTCTTACTTGAGGACAAAAACTGAGGGCAACGTCTTGAGGAACAGATAGCGCTGGGGCACTGGCTTCTCACTTGGGCGTTCAGTCACTATGCAGTTGTCGCACACCAGACATGTTGCTGGGTGCTGCAATACAGTCCCCGCCTTACAAGGGCTCCAGCGCTCCTGGAGGGAGAAAGAGAACTAGACCCGAAAGGGAACACAGTCGTGTCGGTGCTGCAAGAGGGCTGCGGGGCGGAGGCGCAGGTGGGCAGTCATCAGGTTTGCTGAGGTTACGAAAGACCTCCCAGACGAGGTGAAATCAGGACTGAGGAGGTCACAGGGCCTCCAAGCAGAGGTGGCAGAGCGCGCAGGTGCAGGGAGAGGTGGCACTGTGGCCACTGCAGGGAACCATGCTCTGACGCCTTCAGCACACTCGCCTAGAAGCAGCCTATGACTACGGAGGTTTGCCCCGTGTTTTATTTCCTGTATAGTGCCTTATACGTGGTCATCCAACAATAATATTTGTTGAATTGAAGAAAAGATCAACTTCTTGGATGGCCAGATAGAGATGAGCTGAATTTTCCTGGATCAAAAAGACGCTAGATTCCAATGAATGGACAAAAGCAAAATTGTCCTTTGATGCTTGCTCTCAGACTGAACATTACTCTATTTTGTCAAAGTAAGATTTGAGGATTTACTATATAACATAAAGACACACTTGGTTGGATCCCACATGCTTTACCCACTTTTACTCTCATTTTCTCCCAATTTAATAAATGTGCACAAATATGTTACTTTAGAACATACCTTTTGTCCTTGTTTACTCAGAGCAGTTTAACATGAAGCACTGCAATTATGCTAAGAACAGATTCTCCGTGCAGCAACCCCAGCTTTGTGAATTTGACCTACTCAAAATGCCAGAGGACAAGCCGTTTCCTTCTCAGGTTTTAAGGTATAATTATGAAAGACCCCAGTCAGTTCGGTAAGATCATCCAGTTCCACAGCTTTGAATTTGGTTAACAACAGTTCTGTCTTATGCAGGGTGTTTTTTTGCTGTATATTGCTACTGAAATCTGCTTTTCTTGTATAGATTACTGTTACAGATGAGGAAGTTAGTAATCCATCCATTTTAGACCTGGTGAGAACTCCCCAAATGAGGAAGTGCACACTTATACTTATGTTTGCTTGGTAAGTTTGACTTGTGATGGATTTAAAAGCTTGCATCAAATTTACAACATGCCCCTTCCTTCAAATCGGGTTGAAGTCATCTCTTACTTGTTCTTCTCTGGTATCTTTCAATGTTGCTGCAGGTTCACAAGTGCAGTGGTATATCAAGGACTTGTCATGCGCCTGGGAATTATAGGAGGCAACCTCTATATAGACTTTTTCATCTCGGGAGTTGTGGAACTGCCAGGAGCTCTCTTGATCTTACTAACCATTGAGCGTGTTGGACGACGCCTCCCCTTTGCGGCAAGCAATATAATGGCGGGGGTGGCGTGCCTTGTCACTGCATTCTTACCAGAAGGTAATCTTCCCCTAAATCGGTCTGGCAGCCGAAGAACTTGAAAAAACTGAAATCAAAATAGTAAAGTTTAGGGAGCCACTTGTCCTTAGGAAATGTACCATCAAATCACAATCTTGGCACCAGGCAAGCTTTTGTGACGTCACTCAATTTTCTGCTTAATTGGTATAAAAACTTTGAAGATAAGAGATTAGTTCTATAGATGTTTCTGTTTTCTCAGTTTTTAGGTTCATTTATGGATGAAATAGATGTGCTAAATCTAGCTTATAGTGATACAGTGTCCTTTTAGTCTCTGTTATCTGACTGACTTTTGTGATAACGGTTGACGTCGTCAAACATGTTTCCTGAGCACATGCCGCATTGCTGGTGCCGTGCCAAACACTGAGGCTACCCAGAGAGCAAAGACACAGTTCTTGACTTCAAATGGTTCGAAACCTATTAAGGGATACAGATACTTTAATGGGAATGATTTCATTATGATAAATGAACTAATAGAATTATTTACAAGATTTAGAAACAGCAAAAACAAAAGTAGGTGGGAGGAGTGATCGATCAATCCATGAGAGCTATCCAGAGAAGCTTCCCAGAAGTGAGAACTAGGCATGAGTGGAAAAGGAAATGTACCAGATAGGAGGCGAGGAGAGGTGTGATTTTTTCCAAAGCAGTTTCACGGGAGTGTGAAACATCTTTGTGGGGTTCAGGAAGTTAAGGTTCTTTGCTATGGCTGGAACCCAGGCCAGGGGCCCTGAGAGATGGTCAGTCACCAGCACGACTGGCCCCCAGACCATGCGAGGAGCTTGGGCGCTGTCCCGTGAGCTTCGGGAAGAGGAGGAGTGAGCTGGGCGTCACTAAAGCAGTTTGGACAAGCCTGTGAGGAGGAAGAGATGCCGAGAGTAGGAACCAAGGTCATGGCGGTGGGCCTGGACGGAAGACGGTGGTTTCGTTTCAGGGATGTTTCAGAGTTAAATTTTTCAGAGCTTGGTGACTGGTGGATGGGTATGGGATAAGGAGGAAGCAGAGGTTGCAGGTGACCCCAAGGGCACGTTAACACCACCCAGATGATCCCTGCCACAGAACACAGCAGGGCTGGAAAGAGGAAGCCTTTCCGCTCCCAAGGGCCGTGTGAATTAGAGCAAGTTAATTATTTCTGTGTTCTGGGATAGTGTGGAGTGGGGACTACAGAGACAGCTGGATTCTCGGGGGTCCTTTGTGTCTGCACAAGAGAGGCTCTCTGTCTTTGAGAATCCTCTGAGGGTCAGCAAAGGAACTGGCAGTGCTGTAGGAGTCAGAACCATCCGACACTTACAGATGAGCCTGCCAATCAGATGAGGCTTTATGAATTCCCCAAACATCGGGTAGACCCTATTTGGATAAAGTTACAGAAATGCCAATCTTCAGAACACACACAGACAAGATGAACAGGCCTCTGACCTATCGGGATGGGTGATGATGAACAGAAACTGCCTGTTTACGTTTCTCTTATTTTCCTTGAGTGTATTAGTTCCCTGGGGCTGCCATCACAAACTGGGTGGCTTGAAACAGCACACATTTGTTCTCTCAGAGTTCTGGAAGCCGGAAGTCTGAGATGTGGGTGTCCCAGAGTTGGTTGCTTCAGGCAGTTCTGAGGGGGGAATCTGTTCATGCCTCTCTCTGAGCTTCCGGTGGTTGCTGCCAAGCCTTGCCGTTCCTTGGCATCACGCCAGTCTGTCTCCATATTCACATGACACTCTCCTCTCTGTCCCTGTGTCACCTTAAGTAATTACATCTGCAAAGACCCTATTTTAAAATATGGTCACATTCTGAGATTCCAGGTAGACAAGAATCGGGGGGATGCTATTCAACCTGGTACATTGAGTTAACATCATCTAAGAGTGGGGGATCCATGCAATAGCTGTCTATCAACACATTTCTTTTGGGTATCGATTAATTGCCAGCCACTAAACTAGGAGGGAGAAGGAGAGGTGAGCAAGATAGACATAAGTCCTGCCCTCGGGAAACATAAATTTAGGTAGAAGCATGAAAAATTGGAAACATGGGAGACTTCACTATTCTTTCTATTTTACTTTGGCACTTAGGGTTTAACTTAAAAACATAGTCCCCTAAGACGAGATCTTCTGTTCTCATGGCATGTAGAATAGGATGAAATATTCATTGCATATGAAATTGGGGGAACATGGAGAGAAAGATTAATGGCTTAAGTGTGGCCATCGTTTCGTGATGTGTACTTTGCCCTAGAAGATTTTCTCTGGTCCTAGACCAAGTGGCATGATTTTAATGTGTGTTGCATTCAGCATGTCCCCGAAAAGCATTTACGACTGTGTGTCCAAACCAAGTTTGAAGTAACTAGATAGGTCGAAATCAAGCTATTTTGTAGAAGACACTTTCATATATTGGAAAATATGAAGCAAAGAATAGACTTTTCTTCTTGTTCTAATCAGTTTTATTTTATAGATATAATTTCCTGATCGAGGCTTTAGAATTGTCCTCAGAAAGACTGAAAACTAATCGCTCTTATTCTAGACACACTTTATTTACACATTTGGCAGATTTGGCTGTTTTTTACAGTCATGTGTCCGTCATGACTGTCTGGCAAGAATAAGTTTCAAATCCCTACAGTGAGTTCCAAGTGTTAGCAGAGGCTCCTCCCTGCGCTGGCTGTCCTTCCAATTCCAAGAGGCTTTTAGACTTGACTCCCAGGACTGGTACATTAACATTAGAACGGCTTCTGCCTCAGCCGTTCCGACCACACCCGCAGAATGCTGATGAGCTTTTGCAGAAACCAGCCCTGACACTGTCTCACAGAAAACAGTTGAACTCGCTTCCCTCCACCGAACCCAACTTTGCATGGTCTGAAGAATGAAATTCTGGAAAAAGAAATAGTCTTTCTGGCTAGATCCTCCTCTAAGACTCACTGCTTCTGGCCCAAATTTCTGAATTCTAATTAAAGGCTGGAAAATAAAGAGCTTTCTTTATCCATACCCATGTGCCATCTTTCAGTTAATTTAGGATGGCTACAAACCTCACAGTTTCACTAAGTCTTCTTTTTGAAATGAAAAGATTGTTTTTCACTTTCATTTCTCTTTAAGTGAAAAGTAAGTTCATGTATCTTAATTTACATATCTCTATTAGGACTTTTTACAAAATTTTATTTCGGAAATCAGAGCAGATGTGTTAACATCAAAAAAAAAAACTCAGGCCAGGCGCAGTGGCTCAGGCCTGTAATCCTAGCTCTCTGGGAGGCCGAGGCGGGCGGATTGTTTGAGCTCAGGAGTTCGAGACCAGCCTGAGCAAGAGCGAGACCCCGTCTCTACTAAAAATAGAAAGAAATTAATTGGACAACTAAAAATATAGGAAAAAAAATTAGCCGGGCATTGTGGCACATGCCTGTAGTCCCAGCTACTCAGGAGGCTGAGGCAGGAGGATCACCTGAGCCCAGGAGTTTGAGGTTGCTGTGAGCTGGGCTGACGCCACGGCACTCACTCTAGCCCGGGCAAAAGAGTGAGACTCTGTCTCAAAAAAAAAAAAAAAACAACTCAGTAAAAAGATTTATTCTTGAGCCGAATGTGTGTGACTGATGGTCCAGGCCTCACAAGGTCCGGAGAAAATGTGCCCAGAGTGGCCAGTTGCAGTCTGGTTTTATACATTCGTGGAGACAGGAATTACACATAAAATCACACATCAGTACATGGAAGGTGTACATTGGTTTGGTCCGAAAAGGTGATACATCTTGAAGGTGGGGAGAATTACAGGTTATAAGTGGGTTTAAAGATTCTTTGATTTGTAATTAGTGAAAGAAATGAAGCTTTGTCTAAAGGCTTGGGATGTGTTAAGTTAAAATAAGGAAGTCTGCTAACCAGAGACAAGCCATGGGACAAACCCCTGGAGTCATCTGTTAAGTAAATTGATGACCTGCAGGTGTACTTGAAACTTTGTCTTGCTGGGCCTTAGGTCCCGTTAATGATTTATTATCTTGCTGTTCCTGAGAGTAACTCGAAAAGCCAGAGGGCACCATGAGGTGTGTCTGGGCTCCCTCCTCCTCGTGGCCGGCCAGTCAGTTTTCAGGTTTTTCTGGGGTCCTGCTGGCCAAGAGGGGGTCCATTCAGTCGGCTGGGGGCTTAATATTTTATTTTAATTCACCGATGGTACATTCAGAGGAGATTCAAAATTTTGTTTATTTTAAACCCTGCGTCCTTTCTTCAATAATCCAGGTATTGTTCCCAGTAATCTCTAGCAGCTTGACCAGGTCCCCATTCAGCGAGGGACATTTGTCCTCATTTAACTCTGCAGGAGACAATTTTAGTTTTAGTACTCATTTTTAAATTGCCTTGTGGTTTTTGCCATTGCTACCAAAAGTTGTGTATCACCACCCCAAAATGAACTTAGCGTATTACTGGAATGATCAGAAGTTTGTGTGCGCATATATAATTATTCACACTTCCCAACAAATTGTTTTCTTTTTACTCTTTAGTTCATGAACAGTGCAGTGCCTTAGGAACTTCTCTCTTGTTACACATTTCAATAAAATATCTGTTTTGATATATTAATGGTTAGATACTGGACTCTACTGCTTGGAAAAGAGTGAGGAGTCTTTCAGATTAAGGTCCACATGTAGGATAGACCATGTCTCCCCAAGTGTGGCAACTTGGCAGGGTTTTCTGAACATTTTGCTGAATTGACTAGTTATTTTACTGAGCTAACCACATATGTTTCTCATGGTGGGTATGTGTTTTAATTTGGTTTCCTGGTTTTTGTTTGGTTCTTTCCATCAAATAGTCCTAGCCTCAGTTAATAAACCTAAACTGAGACTCACTTATAGAGAGATCTTGATTTAATAAAAAGAATCCTATCACTTAAGTACCTAACCTGGATGGGAGATCATTTCCATGGTAGCAGGCGGCCTTCTTCACTGCAGCCCTAGAGCAGCGGGAGATTGCCCCATCGGGCCGGGACCCAGGGAATCTGGGCCACGGCTCCCCCTTTCCGTCCCCAGCACCACCTGCTCATCGAAGGACGGGGTGGAATGCATTTCCTCGTGCCCCTCCCTGGCCTTCATGAAAAAGCAAAGCCTAAATAAAACACATGTTGACAACCGCTCTGTGCCAGAGCAGATGGTGGCCCAGCGCATCAGCACAACTCTGATCCTCCTCACTCCCTGATGTAACTGTTAGTGTGACAGCTACAAGTGTTCTCATCTGGAAAAAATACCAAGCTCACCAGGATAGCCTCAGCCCAACTGCAGTCAGAACGCAGTAAAGTGGGGCCTCCCAGCAATGACCTGGACTCTCAAACCATCTTTTTCTCTGCTTGCCCTCCTGTGTAATTGTTTCATTTAATGAGTTTTAGCTTTTTTGATTTGTTGACTTTTCTCTAGAGGGAACACACAGACTTCTATGAGTTTGATTCTCTTCCTGCCTCCTCGTCACTCATGCCCACTTTCCTACTAAAAAACTATATATTCAGGAAGGTGCAATAATGCTCCTAGAAGACAAGAGGATGATTTAGTGCTAAGTGAGCAGGCACATGAGTATAAAAGGTATTCATCTGTTCACAGATGAAAGCCAGACATGCTGGACATCCTTAGCTTTGCTTTGAAGAGCAGATATGGTCTTGTTCATGAAATCATATGTCCTCATACCAAATCCCCTCGGATGACATAAATTGCACAACTCTTAGGAAACTTAGAGCACTGACCTTTTAGAGTAAAAATACTTAACTCCTTCTGTCCTTAAAACAGAAAAGAAAAAAAATATTTAATAGGGAATGTTTGGCATTTCCCACTAGTTACTAGGGAGGAAAGGAGAGTTTCTTCATATAACCAGAGCAGTCCTCAAACAGTTCATTGTTTCAATGTAGTGGCTGCTTGAATTGTTCTTGAATTGTTCAAATGGTTCTTGAATTGTATTTCTATAATCCAACCCTGCTTAGAAAGACATCTAGCACACTAAAATATTAGCTGTCATTCTGGTTGTTGTCGTTGAAATCTGGCTATAATATTAGAAGGTTCTATCATTTGTGCTTAAAATTAGCAAATACTTTGGACTAGGGGGCATTAAGCAAATGCCTTTTGTTGTTTTGTACGATGTTAATGAAATCAGACCCCTAACTTCTCTCTTCCAAACTTTCTGTGTTTGCAGGGATACCATGGTTGAGGACCACAGTTGCTACCCTGGGAAGACTAGGGATAACCATGGCCTTTGAAATTGTTTATTTGGTAAATTCAGAATTGTACCCAACAACATTACGGTAATTACAACATACATGTCGTGGTTTCTCCTAAGTAACTGTGTAGTCACATATTTTAAGTAGACTTAAAAGCTATAAAATAGTTTCCTTAGCTTGGTAATATATTAACCTGGGCTGAATTCAGCCAGTAAAGAAGAAATGCTCTGAGTTGTAGCTGCTTTCTGCATTACTACCTGACACGTTTTGTGATAGAAGTATTTCTCATATCATATCTTCATACACACCTATGGTTTTGTGGAAAGGCTCTGGACTTGGAACCAGATCTCTTAGTGCACTTTCTTGGATTGTGGGTTAAATCTGCATTCACCAGCATCACCCTGCTGCAAGGCTGTATGGACTCTCTTCGGACCGCGTCACACATCTCGCATTTGTGAGCAGCCGGTTAGCGAAGGACAGAGTGAGACGGTGTGCATGGATTAGTGCAAATGACCCTCCTTTGCTGGGAAATATTCCCTGGGCACACCGCTGTCGTGCAAGGGGACAAAGGGGCCCGCACTGTCACAGAGCAGGCAGGGCGTGAGCTGCTGAAGGATGAATACCTTTCCGCCAACCCTGGAGACTTCCTCACCACCCTCACTGTGAAATGGTGCAGAATGGACATGGTTTGCTTAGAGTACGCGACAGTGGTAGTTTTCAAGGTTAAAAACTAGAAAAATGGAAAGTGTTGTCACGTTTTCTTTGCTGTTGAATATCTCCGAATATTTTGATTATCTTGAATTTACTTATGAAATAGTTTTCATTTAAAACCATTTTTCATTCTACAGAAACTTTGGAGTTTCACTGTGTTCAGGTTTGTGTGATTTTGGGGGAATCATAGCTCCATTTCTGCTCTTCCGGCTAGCAGCTGTGTGGCTAGAACTACCTCTGATAATCTTTGGTAAGAACTCACTTTTTATGCTGTTCTTAAGAGCTTTCATCTACATTCTTTGCATTAACAGAACCCTATAATGATCATCAGATTATTAGGTTATTAATGATATCCATTTCATCTTTTTATGACAACTGTTTCGGTTTTGAGGAGCCAATCTGATTACAGTAAAATTTGAAATGCTAAATGGCTTTAATTTACTTTATATTAAAGGGTGGTGATAAACCATGTTTGATTTAGCCTTTTTTGTTTAGGTTCTGAGTTAAAATCAAACACTACGAAACTCTTTTATGGTATTGGGAAACAGAACAGGTAATTTTCAGGGGACCCAATTGGATCTTTGATATGTTTAAAAATAAGCCTAAGGATTAATTGCATCTTTAAATGTTCTCTATCAATATCACATTTTAATTTTCTCTGATGCCAGAAATGCCACGATGAGAGAACAGGGAACTCAAAATCACTCACACGTGCTCCATAACCTCTTCCACGTCCCTCCAGGGAGCTTCTGCCCTCCCCTCCCCTCAGCTGTAAAGGACGCTGGTTGGCCCCGTTCTCACCCGACCTTTCCTCCACCTCCACTTCCTTATTCTCAATAGAGAATGTTTTTCATTTCTTGTTCAACAGTTGAAATTTGAAATTTGAATGAAAATTTTGAGCCCATGAGGACATACCTTCAGATTCATGCAAAGATCCTTTGACAGTGCCGGGGACAAAAAAGCAACTGCTAACCACTTAACTCCGGTGAACTCAATAAAAGATCACCTCAAATTATTCAGTGGGCTTTGACCATTGAGCTGAGTGTTGTTCTGTGGCCAGCATGAAAAAGCAGAGAATGTCAGTGTCTGGCGAGGACAGAGTAGTCCAGGAGACAGGGCGCCTGACCCTCCAGGACTGTGGCTGGTCAGGTGGCACCCAGGCTGCACGCTGGCCCTTCCTTCACAGGGCCTGGGTGGGGACAGAGCCGAATTTCTGAAAGCTCAGTGAGGACGGTGTGCTCTCTGCTGAGACCCTGAGAGGAGAGGCAGCTGTGAGAACATGGCACAGGGACCCTGGCCCCGCTGTCTTTGTGGTGGGGACACTGGGTGGTGGGCTGTGGCACATCTCTTCCGGTGCCACCTTCAGTGATGTATGTGGGCAGCCTGACACGCCAACGTGGCAGCATTTACACCTTGCCAGTGGGCAGACGCTACAAATCAAGGCTTCATTTTCCAAAACCGGCTGTTAAACATTTACCAGCACACCGCTGCGGAGAAATAGGAGAGGCTGGCATTTCAGGAATTTGGGCTCCAGAGAACAGAAAACAGCGGTGACTGGTGGACAATGTGTGGTTGAGAGGAGGCTTGTTAAGGCGGAGACCTGAGTGTGTTTAGAAGCTTCTACCAATAGGGTAAAGACCCCCCGGAAAAAGGGGTTTAATCACCACCGGGAGGAGCCCAGAAAGACAGGCCCAGGTGAGCGCTCGCCCTGGGCAGAAGCAGGGACAAGTTTTACCTGCACTGTGAAGGAGGGACAGCAGGGAGAGCGTGTGG